TCAATCTCTAATAAGTGCAAAGAGAATACTACAGACATTTTGTCAGAATTATAACATTCTGAAATGACACCCACAAAAAGACAAGACAAGAAGGTTCTGAGTCTTTACTTCATTTTCATGCACTATCTTCAAAGAATGGCTTGGAAACAAAGCAATTGTGGCACATTTTCACAAATGTTCTGCAGTGCTGGAAGGAATGGATAAAATCTTGACCTACATGTACAGTGCATGCATACAGAATTCTTACCTAAGCTGAACTAAAAGTGTTATGTGTGTTTGTTGTTGTATCCGGTTCCTGAACCAACCTCCACAGAAAGTCATGCAGAACCAACCTACACAGAAAGTCATGCAGAACCAACCTCCACAGAAAGTCATGCAGAATTTATAAGAACACCTTTTTATTTGAGGAATCAACAAAACATAAAACTAATGGCATCAACCCTACAGAGCACTACAGAGCACTGCCCTGTCATTTCCTTCCAAGTGGGATAACTCAAAAACAAAGCAAGATTTAGTAAGATTGAGATGGAAAAATAATTTTTTCCAATAGTTGAAGATCATTAGATACATGTTTCAATATTTTCTTTTATGACACCCTTTTTACCATTCTGAAATGCTTCCAATCCATGAGCAAAACTTTATCACTTTGTGCCAGAAGATGTCTGAATGTGAATAATCTGTTTAAAGTACAAGCCACTGACCCCTCGCTCACTGCATACCGGGGTATTTTCAATCTGCAACATAAGATTTTCCTACCATAACAAAGCTTCAATGCACAGATACGCCGTACTCTGTACAAATGTCTTAGTGGCTCATGAATACTGCAAACTGTAGAGATTGCGCAGCAAATACTTTTTGTCTTAAATTACACGTACACTGTACATGTATGTCAAAGTTCTTGCTCAACAGGACCAAAGTTTAACTTGATAGTGTACAGTAGTGATTAATAATCTCATATTTCTTTGAATTATACACATGTAGAATGACTCCCTTTGCGACAGATACAATGTACATTGTACATGTACACATGTATTCCCCCATCATACACAAACATGTAAATGTACGTGTGCATGTATGTAGTGTAATGGTACACGTAGTGTACATGTACACTACCGGTACATAGGAAATCCTGACACAGTCCCTTCCCCCCTTAACTTGACACCCTTGTCAACCTTCATCAATTATTTCCTACAGAGTGCTAGTACATTACATGTACAGCAGGTACTGTACCGGAATGTGTGAAATGAGCTCTAAACAATCCCTGTGCTTCTGCATCTTCAGTTGATGCACATGTGGCTGATGTTTTATGTACAATTATGTGCTGTACGTGTACATGTACATGTATACATGTACATGTACTTGTTAAGGCTGGCTGGTTCAACTAATGTACATGTATTGTACATGTATGTACATGTATGTTAGTGGTAAAAGATATACATGTACACATGATGATTTGCTGGTACCGGTACATGTTTAGTACGTACAAGTGTACCCCCGTACAATGTAGGTGTGCATACAGGGGTGTGTATCGTAAGTCTGACGCCTCACGGGTCCGACGTCTCAAAAGTCCGAATTTTGCACTTATGAGGCTTCGGATTCATGGGTAATTTTTTTTTTCAATCTCGTAGTTCCGACGCCTCAAAGGTCCGACACCTCATAAATCCAACATTGGACAAACGAGGTGTCAGACTTAATATGAGGCATCAGTGCAGTTTATGTAAGGTACAGGTACACGTATGGAATTCATACACATGACGAACAACGGTAGAGACACAAGCACATCATCCACACAATGCCACAAATCTTCACTGCACTGCCAATTAATTCCCAAGTTGGAAGTGGTTTCTAAAGCAGGCCCTATATCCCATCCATGTACTTTGTACCAGTAACTTGAACTTTGCATTCAACGGTTAGAATACTGTACTGTTTGTAGACGTGTACATTTGAGCAGAACACAACCATACCAGTATGTACATGTACTTTACATTTGACAGCAATAACAATGAAATGACGTCAGTGTCCATCAAGTTTGATGCTGTTTACATCATTTAAAATACATGTACATGTATGTACCGGTAAATCAAACTGAAAGCGACAGATAAACAAATCTGCTAAAAGGAGACAGCAGGGGTAAATTCTGTTGCATTTCTGTTGTATTTACCGGTCTAGAGTGAATACGTCACATGCACAATTCTGTGTGTAAAAGGCATGACGGCAAGACTGTAAGCTCTCAGTGGATTTGCAGGAAGGTATTGGGTCAAGTTGGACATGCACAGGTCTATGGTTTGTCACTCTTGGTCTTTATTCCTTGTGACTCCCATCCACAAACATGCATGCGGTCAACACTTTTTCCCTTCCCCACTGAGGTTACGATTACATCGGTGAGATGACTACATCCTATCTTTAGGGCAAGGGATTGTTATGAATCTGAACGGTACGTGGTCAAGAAATTTCGATCAAAGTGAAAGTTGCATCTACTCCGCTACCAGGCCCACACAAGGGCGCCACTAGCACTGCCGAAACTTACACTCCACCTGGAATTTAAACCATTAAATTTCACACTTAAATTGAATGAGGCAGTAAAATATAACATCCCCCCTAAGGGTTACACTGGTTTAAAAGTAAGTTAACCAAGTCCACATGCTGCTTCCAGCAGGCAGATTTTGTTCACTGGCCTCTCATACTCTCCTTTGGCAGTCTTCACGCGAACCACTCGAACACAGCCATCTTCACTGCAATGCACCTCTGTTACACGACAGAGTGGCCAATATCCACAATGACCAAGGGCAAGCTCATCTGTAAGGAGGCACAAGTCTCCAACCTCGAAGTTCCGCCAACTTGGTGATGGACCTTTGTCGTTCCTGGAGTGTAGGTAGGTACTCTTTCAGGAATCTGCCCCAGAACTGTTGCACGATGTACTGAGTCTGCCTAAAACTGTTCCGCACCAGAGCATCCCACTTCTCAAACAGACCTGGAGGGCAGGCACTCACTGGCTCAGAGTTGACAACATCAACAGGCCTCAACGGAAGTAGGTCATTAGCACTCAGACTGAGGGCACACAATGGACAATTGTTGTACATAAGCTCACACTCAGCGACTACTGTAGCCAGATGGTCCTCAGCAGGTGTCTGTCCTTTCAATACAGTCAG